GATAGATGAAGTTTGAATAAATTTTAGTGGGGGGGGGGGCGAAAAATGTCGTTTTTGCATACGGCTCTTTGCTAGAAAATAATTCTACTTTCAATAAATTTTCTTTCTTTTTTTCCAAATGGAAAGTTGACAGAAAGTAGACCTATGAAATTGATCTATTTTCTTTGGTCAGACTTTTGACTCGCAACGTTTTTTCTTTCTATTTTCTGGATACCTCTCATTTTCTTTGTTCTTTCTAGAAATTTTCTTAATATTTTTGTTCTAGAAAAAAATTCTATTTTGCTACTTGCGTAGGAAAAACGTGGACGACCGAAGTGCGAAACCACGTATCTCCGTTTGCGACGTTGCAGACTTTCTGTCATACTTGATTTTACTTTGGAATAAGTAGTCAACATAATTTCTTGAAAACTTAATTTTTCCTCTTCGTTAACTAATAAATATCTGTTAATATTCTGTTCAAACTAGAGTACCTTTATAGACAGAGTATGGCCATTTCTGTTCCGGTTTTTCATTGGTCGCGTGAAAATAGGCTGATACGATGTTCTCACGGCCGTAAATAAACAAACAAGGTGGCTGTTATCAGCAAGCAAGATTGAGGTTATGCACATCTTACATCCTCCTGTGATAAAGGTGAAAGGCGATTTAACAATGTTTTCATGTGTATTTTTCGTATGTTTTTCGTAGATATGCTAGTTTAAATTGTTACTGCCGCATAATTGAAATTTCTGTCAAATTTAGCTTCTTATCGATGTTACAGTGAGCCGCCATCTTGTTTTGTTTATTTACGGCCGTAAGAGCATCATGAAGCCTAAAAACTCGTTGACCAATCAAAAAGCGGAACAGTTTTCCTGTAGTAAAAAGATACAAATGGCCATACTCTGTCTATAAAGGTACCCTAGTTCAAACTTCGAGCTACTTGGCTTGCTGCCCTTCAAAAACATAATGCAGGAGCGGAGGTTTTGAAACACTGCAACGAAGATGCTTGGTTTCGAAATTTGGCCATCGATTTCTTGAAAACTGAGCTGTTAAAGAGTAGAGCCCAGATCACATGACAGCCGATTTCGTGAAAATGACTCATCGATTCCGCTGATGATTGTTGATCACTGAAAATAGCGCGGCCCGCGCTATTTTCACGATCATCGATGAGGTCGGGAAGCAAGTCCAAGCAAGTAAAGTGAACGTAAGAATATCATCCATTACCTATTTGTAATTTGAATTAACAACTTACATATAAAAAAAAGCTAGAAATAAGCGCGACGAAATTCACTATAATAAAAAAATGTTTTGTTTGTTTACACGCTTTCCGCTTTCCGCCATTTTCACGTCATTTTCGCAGTCGGACGTGTGAACACAACTGAATCTAGATTCTGGCATCAACACTCAACAAAAGCACCGATGTGCCATTTTCAACTCAATTTCGCCTCCGTGTGATCTGGGCTTAGGAAATGAGGTGAAGGCATAGAGCCCTTTCCACACGTTGCAAGTTTTGATGCAAGTGAGCCGAAAGTGGGAGTCATCACTCATCGATGGTCGTGAAATTTGCGGACGGGACGCAAATTTCAGCATCATCGATGAGTGATGACTCCCACTTTCGGCTCACTTGCAGCAAAACTTGCAACGTGTGGAAAGGGCTNTCCCACTTTCGGCTCACTTGCATCAAAACTTGCAACGTGTGGAAAGGGCTATAGAATAATAAGGCTACGCCTCGTAGTCTCTAGGGCCTTGTCTCGACGGCGCAACTGTTGAGGGAAGCTGGAGCAACTGTTGAAGGAAGGAAGTGTCTCAAAAATGTTTCACTTATAAGAGAAACTTTCAAGGTCAGAAACCTGGAACCTCAACAGTTGTTTACCTTCTTAGTATTTTGAATTGATAAACGCTGGTTACACGTGAAGCGGGAGTTTATTACGGGTGTTTTATTCCGGAGCGGTTATTTCTTAGAAATATTTGTATACATTTCAGTATTAATTTTATATTTTCGTTTATAGCATATCACTACAGCAAGAAAATAAAATTTTATCGAATATATTTTCTTTTTATCCAAATCTGTGTTATGTTATTGTTTTTTGTTTTATACCTGGTCGAAATAACGCAAAATATTCACCTCCCGTTCATAATTGTCAGTTCAGTTACCTCAATTGACATCATTTAACCTAAAAATATTAATGTTGTTCAAATATTCCCGCCTAAAAGTTCCAGGAACACATGCGTGCGCGTCGAGATAGGGAATTTCGGTTGGTGCAACAAACTCGCTGCAGTTGCACCTAATTCCCTCAACAGTTGCGCCGTCGAGACAAGGCCTAGTAGTTGGCGCAGTCTCTTTATTCTATGGTGAAGGGGGATGATGAAAAATTTCAAATTCGAGAATTACTGTTTTTAGGCGTTGCGTGGCCTCCTGAACGTATCTCCAACAGTTTCAACAAAGTCCATGAAATTTAATGGAATTTTAGGCGTGAAATTCAACGCACATAAATTTCATGAAATTTCCAACACCTGGTATTAGAGTACCTATATTGAGAGAGTATGGCCACTGGCGTTATCACCTCTGATTGGCTCAGCCATCTTAGGCTTAATGGAGCCCTTAGGACCCAAAAATGGCGGACGCCATAAATTAATGTAATGCAAAATGACTCAAAATGTAGTTTTCTTTGCTTATCGTAACGAGAAATTTACTCAAATGCACTGTTGCGACATCTTTACATATTTTTAAGGCTAATCGTGTGCAATTTTTGAGAAAAATTATCTTACATGTCGTAAGGTTGGCAGCAAGTGCGGTTGGTGATAACCGTCAAAAGTTGGCAATGACCCCCCCTCCCATCCACAAAAACCAAAACAAAGCACCGCCATTTTTGGGTCCTAAGCCTCTCCATGGGGATCAGTGGCCATACTCTCTCAATAAAGGTACTCTACCTGGTATTGTTATGTGTCGAGTTTTTCGTGAAAGGGTTGGCATACATTTTTGAAGCCGACCCAGCAGCATGAACTTCCGATAAAAAGAAATTGCCTCGGTAAAAGAAAAACTTTATATTTTTTCCCCATTTATTTAGATTAGGAACTACAAAAGGTAATAATCTAATTTACATTATTTACAATACATGATAAATTTTTTTAAAAACAACACACAAAAAAGAAGAACATGGTTAGCGCACATCCGATAAGGTTTTTGGTGACTGACTCTCCATGAAATCTATCTGATGAAAATTAATGTTTGCCACCGTAGTCAGGTATAACATTGATTGCTTTAGTATTGGGAGCAATCGCTTCGTCAAATTATGACAATTCTATTTGTTAATAACGCTATGAGGTGGTTCGCCTGCGCCGGATGAAAAAGCACTGAAGTTGGCATATTATCATTAAAGGTTCAGTTACACGATCAAATTATGAGCCATCAAACTGAAGCTCTGATTGGTGGAAAAAGACCCGAGGTGAGGATGCGACCAATGAGACGCCCAATTTGATGGCTCAATTTGATCGTGTAACTGGACCTTGTGATCCTTATATAATCTAGGGACGAGATTTTCCACCACGCTGCGCTGCTTCACAGTCAGAGACAAGAGACCCTCCACTGGCCTCCTAGCGACAGGTGGAAGCTTTTACTTTCGGGGTTTCAACAATTCTTTATGGACAATTATTAGCGAGCAACAGTCATCACCCTATTTTCGGCTGTTGACTTACCTACATGGTCGATGATGAGCTTCGGATGACATCATGTAGAGTACCTATATTGAGAGAGTATGGCCACTGGAGTTACCACCTCTGATTGGCTCAGCCATCTTAGGCTGAATGGAGCCCTTAGGACCCAAAAATGGCGGACGCCATAAAGTTAATGTAATGCAAAATGATTCAAAATGTAGTTGTCTTTGCTTATCGTAACGAGAACTTTACCCACATGCACTATTGCGACTTTTTTACATATTTTTAAGCCTAATCGTGTGCAATTTTTGAGAAAAATTATCTCAGATGTAGTAAGGTTGGCAGCAAGTGCGGTTGGTGATAACCGTCAAAAGTTGGCAATGACCCCCCTCCCATCATCAAAAACCAAAACAAAGCACAGCCATTTTTGGGTCCTAAGCCTCTCCATGGGATCCAGTGGCCATACTCTCTCAATATAGGTACTCTAACGTCATGAGCCAAACAACTTTCCCAAACGTCGGCCATTTTCGGTAGAGTACCTATATTGAGAGAGTATGGCCACTGGGGTTACCACCTCTGATTGGCTCAGCCATCTTAGGCTGAATGAAGCCCTTAGGACCCAAAAATGGCGGACGCCATAAATTAATGTAATGCAAAATGACTCAAAATGTAGTTTTCTTTGCTTATCGTAACGAGAAATTTACTCAAATGTACTATTGCGACATCTTTACATAACTTTAAGGCTAATCGTGTGCAATTTTTGAGAAAAATTATCTTACATGTCGTAAGGTTGGCAGCCTGTGCGGTTGGTGATAACCGTCAAAAGTTGGCAATGACCCCCCTCCCATCCACAAAAACCAAAACAAAGCACCGCCATTTTTGGGTCCTAAGCCTCTCCATGGGGCCCGCAGTGGCCATACTCTCTCAATATAGGTACTCTAATTTTCGGCTTGTTTGCAAAAGGAAACTGCCAACACGTTGTTGAACATCAACCATGTAGGAAAGTCAACAGTAGAATGCTGAAGTCCCGAAAGTAAAAGCTTCCACCATGGCCAAGATACTAGTGGAGGGTCTCTTGTCTCTGTTCACGGTTCACGTCTTTGAGAAACAATACTAATCTTAATGTACAAGATAATGCAAGAAATTCTTCCATATAACGCGTTACAGCATTAATCAAGGTAGAATTACATCAAAGTGTAGGTTCATTGTACATTTATACCTAAAACTACGATAACAAACGTCGCCCGTTGACTCAATGTGTAGGGAAGACTCTACCTAACGCGTTGAGTCAATGGGCGACGTCCGTTACCGTATTTTCAGAAATAACTTTACAATGAATCCTCACGAGATCTGTCAGATAAGAAACCGGATTTTGGTGATAGCTAGCCCATTTTGCGTCTAAATTATAGGTTTCTTTGGACAGTCTGATAGCTGATATAACATACTGAAGAACGCTAGATTTTCAGATTTTGTTTCTTTTGATCAGTGTTCATTCTGTGTCACGTTGAATACAAGTAAGTCAGATGCGTTCTGCGATTCTCGTCATGCGACCACTGAAAGAGCAAAGGTTTCACGTTAAATTTTGTTTCACAGTCGGTACCTTGGACCAAAACTTTTGATATACTAAAGTAAATTTTATTAAGATCATGGTATGAGTAACAACTCATGCAATGACAGTGTACAATATAACTACAATACATACAACTCAGTATTTTCAGTGGTCTAAACGGTTCAAAACTGGTCCGGAGTCCGTCAAAGATGAGGAGTACCGATGGGAAACGACCATCAACGGCAACTGACATTTGCCACGTAGAAAAAAAGCGGGCAAGTGCTCAAAAGTGGTAATTTCAAGCTTTCAAGCTTTCTGAGCAGGGTGATATTTCTGAGGGCTCTGCACATACAATTTTGATGAAATATTTAGACATGCATCGAGTTTCAGCTAAACTCGTCCCAAGATTGTTGTCTGTTCAACAAAAATCCAACCGAATGTCAATTTCTCTTGAGTTCATTGAACGTTCTAACATTGATCCTACATTTTTAGATACGATAATTTCCTGTGACAAAACTCAGGTTAGAGTCCCTTTACACCCAGAGTTAGGACAACTCACTTTTGGATGGGCTGAAAGTGGCCTAAAAAAATCCAATTCTGATTGGTTCTCGCTCATGGAGTCGTAAACGAGTGCACCAAGATGGCGGTGACTCGAATGTGGACAAAAATAATGAAAATATTATCTAATTGTGGTTTATCAAGATTAAATTGTCATTACCATCGGTCCGAAATGAAAATACATGAAGCAATTATTCATAAACCAATCTCATTTTCTTTGTACCTACCTAATTGATCAATTTTGTTGATGTTGTTGTTTTTGGATGACGGACATCGCAGGATTTCTTATCTTCATCCCTCAATATCGTTCGTTTGGGTGCACTCGTTTGTGCCTCCATGGCCAGCCAAGGCCGGCTGCCAGTCAGCTGATGATCGAGTTGTCTTAACTCTGGGTACAAAGGGACTCTAACTCAGGTGCACGGCTACAATATGGAGACGAAACTTCAATCATCCATGTGAGTTGAAAAAGGTATAGCGCAAGACCGACAAATGAGTGATAAGTTCGGTCAACATGGAACAAGAGTACAACAAACATGGGAATCGCAGAACAACCATAAGGTTATGCCTTACTTCAAGCCACGTACCGACAAAGTTAATTAAGTTTTTGTCATATTCTGTTATACCCTTGTATTGCAAGTTGCATACAGGGTGTTAGAAAAGTTCCCTCCCCCCATCTGACTTTTTACCTAATAGGGATAGAGATTTGAAACTTGGAGGATGTTCCTAGGTCAAAAGGAGCTACTTTTTGGTCCCCCTAAAATTTTCGGGGGGCTCTCCTTTGGGGGGTAACGGACCCCAACTTTTTTTTTCAAATAGGAAGACCCCCTTTGTGATACCTCGTTCGAAAGAATATAAAAAAGACATTTTTTCGCGCCAACCCGAAGTCATTACCTTAAGCCGTTTCAAAATGGCGGCCGGTTTAAGTTCAAATGGCCGAAAATTGGCATCTCGGCTATTTGCACATGGATTTGTTTGAAACTCAGTATCTGGAGGTATTTTCGCACGAGAAAAACGAATTTGACATTAGATTTTTTAAAAAAAAACCCTAATTTTTCAAAATGGCGGCCGGTTAGGCTCCAAAATGGCCGAAAAGTGACAAACTTGATTTTTTGCCGATGGATTCGCCTGAAACTTGATATCTGGGGGTATTTTTGGCACGAGAAAAACGAATTTGACGTTACGACTCACGTTTGTCACTTTTCGGCCATTTTGGAGCTTAACCGGCCGCCATTTTGAAAAATTAGGGTTTTTTTTAAAAAGTCTAATGTCAAATTCGTTTTTCTCGTGCGAAAATACCTCCAGATACTGAGTTTCAAACAAATCTATGTGCAAATAGCCGAGATGCCAATTTTCGGCCATTTGAACTTTAACCGGCCGCCATTTTGAAACGGCTTAAGGTAATGACTTCGGGTTTGCGCGAAAAATATGTATTTTTTATATTCTTTCGAACGAGGTATCACAAAGGGGGTCTTCCTATTTGAAAAAAAAAGTAAGGGTCCGTTACCCTTCAAAGGGGGGCCCCCCGAAAATTTTAGGGGGACCAAAAAGTAGCTCTCTCTGACCTAGGAACATCCTCCAAGTTTCAAATTTCTATCCCAATTAGGTAAAAAGTTAGATGGGGGGAGGGGACTTTTCTAACACCCTGTATACTAGGTTGTGAGGCACTACCAAATGAGGTAGCGTCAGATCTGTCTGTCTGTCTCTCCCTCTCTCTCTCTTCATTCTGGAATACATCTGATTTTGTGCTCGCACGCTTCGTCTTGTTGCTTGCTTTGATCTTTTTCTCCCGATTCCCGTTTATATCAGTTTTTTTTTTTTTTTTTTTTTTTTTTTTTTTTTTTTTTTTCAAATTTGTGAATGTAGCGTAGGTATATTTTCAGCTACCAGGCAAGTCCAAGAAACCCTTATTCGGACGCACGATGGGCTATTTATCACCAAAATCTGGTTTCTTATCTAGCAGACCTCGTATAAATTTGATGTCATTCCACTCAGTTTTAATGCTGCTACAAGTCATGGATCAATTTCTTGCATTGTTGCATGCAATGTGCATTCGATGTATCACAAAGGAGGGGGCAACCCCCCCCCCCTTGTGATACATCGTTAGAAAGAGGATAAAAAAACAAGAATGTTCGCGCAAACCGAAGATCAATCCGACTTTTCGTTCCCGAGTTATTCACGATTAAAGTTCAATTTGGACCAATTTTCAAAATATGATAAGTCCTGTTAGAAAAGTCGCAAAGAGGCCGTCAATGGCTTAAAATTCGTAGCACTACTATTTCATTTATAGCTAAGTTATCGGAGGATGTGCTTCTCATCAGTTCGCGTGGGGAGGGTGGGGGAGGCTCGCCGCCTGAAAATTTTATATTATCGGCGTCGTTTACCCCGTTTCAAAGCGCGCTCAGAGTCATGCCATCGATTGCTGCGGCTGCGGCTGTAATGCTACGAATTTTAACTCATTGGCGGCCTCTTTGCGACTTTTCGAATAGGACTTATCAATTTTTGAAAATTGGTCCCGGTTAAACTTTGAAATTGAATAACGCGGGAACGAAAAGTCGGATTGATCTTCGGTTTGCGCGAACATTCTTGTTTTTTTTATCCTCTTTCTATCGATGTATCACAAAGGGGGGGGGGAGGTTGCCATTTGAAAATCTCGAGTTGCCTTCCATAGGGCTCCTTTAGGGGCCCCTCAATAGGCCCCTTGCCACAATGAGCAATGGTCCAAACCGGAACCCTATATCTCTTTTTGTTCAAAAGTTAGAGACACTTCTCAGTTACTTTTGGCCCACCCAGTATAAAACCCGTCGTACCCTTTGTTATATATATATATATAGTATATATCAGTAGTATATACTTAGTTGCTGTAATATTTTTGTTTTATCTGCAATAAGGCATCTTCCAATACTCTCAAGTTGAGTCTCCCGTTCCTGCGGCTTTTGACACTGGATTGAAAAAAGGGGGTTGGGGATAAAATTAGAAATATTATCTACCCCCATATCCATTGCCTCCAAAACCACCCGATCCGCTTCCTCCCCCGAAACCTTCACCATTTCCATATCCACCGCCGTTTCCGAAAGCACCTCCTGCTGCGCCAAAACTGCCCCCACCAAACAAATTACCACCAAAACTCCCATGACCACCCCCGTGGCCGAAAATACCACCATGCCCGAGTCCACCTCCGTGACCATGACCGTGCCCATAACCAAAGCCCCCACCATTTCCACCAAATCCACCTTGGTTGCCACCTCCACCGAAACCACCCTGATTCCCTGCGCCGCCACCAAAACCGCCGTGACTTCCGCCATTGCCACCAAAGCTGCCATGATTTCCACTATTGCCGCCAAAGCTACCATGGCCTCCGGCACTTCCTCCGAAGCTTCCATGACTTCCAGCACCTCCTCCGAAGCTTCCATGACTTCCAGCACCTCCTCCGAAGCTTCCATGACCTCCAACTTGATTGCCACCACCGGTGCCTCCTCCGTAGCTCCCACCACTCTCTCCGCCGAGACCGCCAGCACTGGAGCTGCTGCTTCCACCGAGTGAATTAGTTTCTAGATTCCCGGCACCTTCACCGGCACCGCCGGCTCCATAACTGGAACCTGAATTACCGAAATGGGTACTCGAGGCTCCAAAATTGGAACTTGATCCACCGAAATTGGCACTAGATCCACCAAAATTTGAATTCGATCCGGCGAGACCAGAACCGGATCCGTAACCGGAGCCACTCGAGCCGCCAGACCCAACCGTGTGCGGGTATAAGCTACTGCCAAAGGAGCCTCCACCATTCGAGTTGGACCCCCCGCTTGAGCCGGCATACGATCCCGAACCGGAGCTGAAGAATTTATTCGGTTTATGGCTAGGCCGAAGGTTACTAACAAGGCTGCTGAAGGATGGCCGGGGCCTGGAAAGCCCCGGTCGTCCTCCCAGGCTCGTGAATGCGTTATTTCCGTTGTTATGTAGGTTCCCAAATGCATTGGATGTCCATGCGCCGATAGGTCCTCTTCTGGGAGAATCCTTGAGAAGCTGCGAGTGGGCTTTAGCAGGTGCTTTGACTGGTATCGGGAACTTGGCCTCTGTGTTAGCTGGCTTTTTGGAGGAAGAAAGGTATTTTGATGAGCTGGACTTTGTTTGAGGTGTAGCAGCAAGGCAAGTGGCTATCGAGAGTGCCACCACCACCGTTATCTGTTCAACAAACAAGACATGCGATAATAAATTGGGGAAAAAGTTTACACTTAGTTTACAAATAAGGAAAAGTTCGATAACTCAAATAACGATATGGCAATAAGGTTTCCGTTAAAGCTTGAGGCAAGGTAGCAGAGACATTGAACCCAGGAGAGTACCTATTCGTATGGGCTCCGTGAAGTAGGTGTGCCAACATTTAGAACACATTTAGGTACAACAAAAAAAGTAGAGATTTAAACATTCTGATACATGATTCCTCGTGAAAACTTCACGAAAAAAAACACGGATCGCGCAACGAATATTACCTACTGAAATTAACTCATAACCAGGTATTAATGTTTTCATTTGGCACAGGTTACGGAAAAATTGATTTCCCGCTCGCAAGGGAAACCAGAGTCCGCGCGGAATCACGTGCTACAACAGTTTTGGTAGGCTTCTTGATCGGTCATTATTACTTAACCATCCTATTCTGTTCAACGCGCAACAGCTGAGCTTTTCCGAGATGGAGGTTGCCATATTTTTAAACCACAGAGCCTGTTAATGGAGTGATTTTAATCTGGGCAAACAGAGTGTACAGAGTAAAAAATCGGGCGTATTTTCGGGCGAACCGATAAATGCAACCTCGAATCGACTCGCGGAGCCGCTAGATCCGCGCCAAGCTCACCTGGGTATTGTTCCCGCAGGAAGTTTGAATTTGAGCATTGAAAATGGTACTCCCAATGTCACGGCTATATTGCCATGATAGCGAAGAGAGCCATCGGTACTTAACCCTTAAATTCTCGAAATCGAAAATTCATTCTTCAAAATTCATCTTATCTAATTTCGATGTAATCACTGATGCAGTTGAAGCAGCAAAATTGTCCTCTATTTTTAAAAGCGAGACATATGAGAAAACCGTACGTAAGGCTTTGTCACCACGCGACGTATACATGACATTTGCTCGTGGGCCGAAGCGCTAAGCGTCGTAATGGAATAGAATCAATATTTGTTCACTCCATAAGGAAATTCTTTCATGAAAGTGCATGGACATCTTTCATGGATTCCGTATGGATCCGTATGCAGGGTGCTCCAGATCATCCGTCCAGTTTCTATAACACAAAAACGACTCAAATTGAGTTTTTTGTCCGCAATTCCTAAAGGTAAATCGACCTCTTGGAATTCGATGAAAATATTTTCAGCCTAAAAAAATTGCTCCCTTGGAGTTTTTTTTTTTTTTTTTTTTGAGGGGGAAGGGGCACCCGGCACACCTTTTTCTCGCGGTTTTCAAATAGAAAGGGCAAGTCTTAACTTCAGATTCGGATTTATGGCCTAAATAAAAACTTTTTGATTATAGCTCTTTTTCCCCCAAACCCCTACTTTTTGGAGTTCTGAGGCATTTTTAGTTCATTTTTGAGCAATTTTCAATGGTACGCAGAGAGCGTCAAAATTATTCTATTGTCAAAATCAAATAATATCCTGGAACAAGATATCAATAACCTTTCGTTAATGTGCCACATGATCCCTCTTGACTTCAATTTATTGGGACTTTGGGAGGCCGTAAGTACCTAAGTCAGAAAAGATACTGTATATGACCTCTTCGCCCTAGATTACCATAGGACCCCATTTATCCAGAAGAAGCCGTGTATTTTTGGAGGAGAAAAGGTCTTGTTTTTTACCAAATATAGCAAAAATGCTGATTTACACTTGGGAACCCTGGCGGGAATCAAGGGCGGAGGTTTTTATTTTGAAATTCTGTCGTCTCAAAATATGCACATAATCGACTAGGTGAGTACCTAATCGATGAAACAGGTAATCGATTCATCCCAAGTAGCAAAATAGAATTTTTTTCTAGAAAGAAGAATATTAAGAAAACTTCTAAAAAATACCAAGAAAATGAGAGTTATCTAGAAAATAGACAAAAAAAAACATTGCGAGTCAAAAGTCAGACCAAAGAAAATAGATAAATTTCATAGGTCTACTTTCTGTCAACTTTCCATTTCGAAAAAAGATAGAAAATTTATTGAAAGTAAATTTATTTTCTAGCCAATATCTTAATGTTTTCTTTTAAGAAAATGAAAGGAAAAAATGTTTTTTCTCTCTATTTTCTTGTACCTATTTTCTAGATCTACTTTATACCTACTTTCTTTCAAGAAAATTATTCTATCTAGAAAGTAGACATTTTCTTGATGAGCGCCACCTAGAAAGTAGATGACAATGCTAACTTGGGATGAATTAATTTTGATTCGATCCGATTGTTAATCGATTGCTGAATTTTCAATTATACAAACAATCGATTAATCGACTGATCAATCAATTGGAAACTCAACGTCTAAGCATCTCTGCGGATGAAATCTGGACGATGAAGAAGTTAAGATGAGCCAAAAGCAGCGGTACGCCCGGCGGCGGCCGACTGAGAACAAAGCGATGACGACGGGGGACGCGCGCAGATGGATATCGAAAGTAAGCGGCTGTCACGCTATAATTTGGACAGTGCTCCGTGTCAGAGGCCCCGACACAGCGGGGGCGGCGATGCAATTCTAAATAGTGGCAACACGTAATAAGCAGTGCGATTGTGAGCCCATTTTAATCAAATACATTTTGATCGCATGGGTCTCCAGTCACGGTAATCTTTGATCGCTGGCTCATTGTTCTCTTCTCCATGTTTGTGTCAGTATGTCGCTGAATTTCATCTAGACCCCCTGTCAAAACTGTCCCATTGGAACCCGTAGGAAATCCCAATGGGAATCCGTAGCAAATTCCCACGGGGACCCGTTGGGAATTGACCATGGTTCCAATGGGTTCAGTCAGTCAAGAACCTGCGGGTTTGGATCTGTCCCCATTGGAACTCGTTGGAACCATGGCTAATTCCCAAAAAGTAAAATACCCGGACACCCTCGTGTGGACTTGAACCCGAACCGCGTTACTCACAGCCCCGCACTCTGCCACTTAGCCACAGGGAAGGCCACAGGGATGATAAGAAGTGTTAAAATCATGCCTGTCAAGGCTGTTATAGCATGCATTGCGTCAGTGCGCGGCTTAACTATCATCATACACGGTGCTCCTGAACTCACTTTAAATGTGACTTTGTTGTACATCAAAAATTGAGGTTGGAGGTTGTAGTGGGGTACTCTCTGGTGGGTTTTTGGGCAATTTCGAAATAGGTTGTCGGAGCTCCTGGAAAAATAATCGCATTTTTGTGGTTTTTTAGGGGTAAAATAGGAAAATTGGCCTCGGGGCGACAAATTAAACCCCCTCTCCCTCATTTTTGCCCTGACCGATCTGAATTTTTAGTATGTTTTCACCTAGTATAAGATGTGACTTTTCTGAAATTTTCATGCCCATACACAATTTTCTGCCCCCGCGGCAGCGTTGCCAAGTTGCGAACTCCAAAATATCGAATTTAATGATAAAATGAAGGTTTCGGAGTGTGATTTCCATTCAAAATCAAAAATTCACATTGTAAGTTGTAGCAGGATACTGCCTGATGGGGTTTTGGCCAATATCGAAGTAGAGTGTTTGAGTTTTTTGGAAAATAATCGAATTTTTGTGGTTTTTTAAGGGTAAAATAGCACACTGGGCATGGGGCGACAAATTAAACCTCTTCTCCCTCATCCTTGCCGTGACCGATCTGAACTTTTAGTATGTATTAACCTGGTATAAGATGTGACTTCTCTGAAATTTTCACGCTCATAAAAAATTTTTTGCCCCCCGCGGCAGCGTTGCCAAGTTGCGAACGCCAAAATATCGAATTTCATGATAAAATTAAGGTTTCGAAGTGTGATTTCCATTCAAAATTTCACTAGGAATGTGCAAGCTGAGAGCTTTCGATTAGAAAAGACATATTTGAGCAATTTAGAGTTGCAGTGTTGCCAGCTTTCGATTTAAAATTCGTCAAAATGACCCAAATCGCGTTGCAACCTCAAGCGCTGGATTTTTATTTCGTTCAGAATTGGTTATTACGGTTCCTCTGTACTCTATGCATTTAGGTACCATGAAAATTATGCCATTACTTACTTGATGGGTGCAGCTAACTCAAAAAGAGAGGCCGGATAAAGCGATGAGTCGGGGGAAAACGAGCGGTTCGGGTTGACAGAAAGTTCTGAAATCTACTCCATCACCAGAAAGTAGAATTTGAGAACTTTCTCCCACCCCCCAAACCTTATCCCTGTTGCAGTCAATCCTTTGAACATCTTATCTGAAATTTTGCCCCCGAATTTTCCCCCAAAAACATGAAAAATAAAAACACAAATAAAATGGGTGGATACCGACGATTCAAATAACGCTATAAAGTCCCTGAATTCGACCTCCTCTCATACAGCGGATTGGATAGTTCGAACCCAGAAGACTTCTTACTGTAAAGAAAATACCTTCGACAATTTAAAGAATAAAAAAATTACAAAAGATCACAATAAATTTATCTTTTGTAATTTTTTTATTCTTTAAATTGTCGAAGGTATTTTCTTTACAGTAAGAAGTCTTCTGGGTTCGAACTATCCAATCCGCTGTATGAGAGGAGGTCGAATTCAGGGACTTTATAGCGTTATTTGAATCGTCGGTATCCACCCATTTTATTTGTGTTTTTATTTTTCATGTTTTTGGGGGAAAATTCGGGGGCAAAATTTCAGATAAGATGTTCAAAGGATTGACTGCAACAGGGATAAGGTTTGGGGGGTGGGAGAAAGTTCTCAAATTCTACTTTCTGGTGATGGAGTAGATTTCAGAACTTTCTGTCAACCCGAACCGCTCGTTTTCCCCCGACTCATCGCTTTATCCGGCCTCTCTTTTTGAGTTAGCTGCACCCATCAAGTAAGTAATGGCATAATTTTCATGGTACCTAAATGCATAGAGTACAGAGGAACCGTAATAACCAATTCTGAACGAAATAAAAATCCAGCGCTTGAGGTTGCAACGCGATTTGGGTCATTTTGACGAATTTTAAATCGAAAGCTGGCAACACTGCAACTCTAAATTGCTCAAATATGTCTTTTCTAATCGAAAGCTCTCAGCTTGCACATTCCTAGTGAAATTTTGAATGGAAATCACACTTCGAAACCTTAATTTTATCATGAAATTCGATATTTTGGCGTTCGCAACTTGGCAACGCTGCCGCGGGGGGCAAAAAATTTTTTATGAGCGTGAAAATTTCAGAGAAGTCACATCTTATACCAGGTTAATACATACTAAAAGTTCAGATCGGTCACGGCAAGGATGAGGGAGAAGAGGTTTAATTTGTCGCCCCATGCCCAGTGTGCTATTTTACCCTTAAAAAACCACAAAAATTCGATTATTTTCCAAAAAACTCAAACACTCTACTTCGATATTGGCCAAAACCCCATCAGGCAGTATCCTGCTACAACTTACAATGTGAATTTTTGATTTTGAATGGAAATCACACTCCGAAACCTTCATTTTATCATTAAATTCGATATTTTGGAGTTCGCAACTTGGCAACGCTGCCGCGGGGGCAGAAAATTGTGTATGGGCATGAAAATTTCAGAAAAGTCACATCTTATACTAGGTGAAAACATACTAAAAATTCAGATCGGTCAGGGCAAAAATGAGGGAGAGGGGGTTTAATTTGTCGCCCCGAGGCCAATTTTCCTATTTTACCCCTAAAAAACCACAAAAATGCGATTATTTTTCCAGGAGCTCCGACAACCTATTTCGAAATTGCCCAAAAACCCATCAGGGAGTACCCCACTACAACCTCCAACCTCAATTTTTGATGTACAGCAAAGTCACATTTAAAGTGAGTTCAGGAGCACCGTGCATAGCTTTGATTAACGCCGTGTTTTCTCAGGCTTCTTTCTTTTTCCTATTTTTATTATTTATTTATTTTTTTCGTGTTATTTTTTTTTTCGATATCACGTACTAGGTACTTACACTAAATACACTGGTGTATTTTACACCACATACTAACTTGAGAACTTAAAACTATTTTTAAAATATTTTCCAAACTTTTTTAAGGAATATTTTAAAAATGTTTACCTGCTCATGAATTATTTTAAAAATACTTTTTGTAAACATTTTCAAAATATTCCCTAGAAAGTTTTAAAAACATTTTAAAAATATTTTGAAAATATTTTAATTACAATATTGTCATGAAAATATTTTGATAAAGGTGACAATATTTTCAAAATATTTTCGAAATATTTTGTGCTAACTGGGTATGTTTCACGGGCACTTGCTAGCAGGTTTGATGAAACCCCTTTTGGAGCATTTAATTGAATGTTATTCCTAGATTGTATTGGGTCTTAGTGAAAAAACCAGTGTTAGGAATTAATTTTTTAAAAAAAAATAAATAAATAATGGCGACTTCATTCCCTTCTTCAGGACGTGGCTATTTAATACAGTGAAATTCCTACTTGTGTTAGTTCGTAATATCTCTCTAAAAGCGCCCGAATCTCGAAAATCCCATTTTAGATACCAACGTAATTAATAATTAAAGCAGACGATTATTTCTTGCTCGCCGATAGTGACGTATTCCAATGAATTGCGGTCAGCGAATTTCCTCCGATACCAAAACTTTTTAGACTGAACTGGAGTACTAGTGTGGCGTGGCACAACCAACAATAGGTACCTGATTTTTTTTACCCATTTTTCACTGCGTTGTATTTCTTCGGACAATTAAAACGCTGTCACGGATATTTTAGTAATCGTAGTCAAAAACACCGACCCTCTTTTTTACTGCCTGAGGATTTTCAAATTGTGCTCCTGAAAAGATTTCTTCTGTGACACTCGTGTACATTTTTCTCTAAATCTGATGAAGATGTTTTCAATTTTTTCCCCGTTACATTACTGATTTTCCGTTATGGAAGCAAGCTGAAGCGTTTTTTTTAAAATTTTTAGAGGTTACCGAAGTTGAAGAAAGTTCCATACCTAATTCTTAAACAAAGAGCCTCCCAAAAAAGAGGCTGATTTTGGCCCCTTTTTAGGTATTCGATTCGACCATCGGACCAAGGTTTAAATGGAAGCTTATATCAACAGAATACTCAGGAAAAAATTTCAAGATGAGTATAGGAATCGTTTTCGAGTTACGGGGGGGGCAAAGGGGTCACAATTCGGCCTAATTTTTTGCTGTTTTCTTGTAGAATTGATGTATCGGCGGGGTTCTTATCGTTGTTTACGCATGTGTAGCACATGGATTCCTACGTGTTTTTACTCGTAGAATCGATTTTTAACGTTGCCGAATCGATAAACTGACCAGTTGAATCGATTTTGAACGATTTTTCATGGAAAATCGATGATTTTTCAGGATCGAAATTGTTTATTTTCGATTCATGAATGAATAAATGCACCTGAATAGACTGAAGCACACGTAGCCCTATGTATTTTCACACGGAAAATTGATTTTTAACGTTGACGAGTCGATTTATCTATCTTTTCTATCGAATTTTTGCGATTTTTTACGGAAAATCGATGACTTTTCGGCATTAAAATCGGGTTTGCTCCATGAGAGCGAAGATATGTACCCAACATGATTGGAGCACATCGACTCTTACGTATTTTTATACGTGGAATCGATCTATAACCTCGATGAGTCGATCGATTGTATTGAATTTTAGCGATTTTTTGCGGAAAATCGATGGTTTATCAGGATTGAGATCGGTGTCCCTCCATCCAAGATCGGCGAAATGTACCCTTCATGATTGGAGCACTTCAGTTCTTACGTTACGGCAACCTTTAAAATGATTCTACGTGTAAAAGTACGTGGAAACGGCGTGCTCCAACCATGTCAGGTCAACTCAGGTGCATATCTTCACCCTCGGACCGTAAGTAACCAATTTCATTCCCGATCAAAAAATCGATTTTCCATAGAAATTTTAAGAAGTCAATATGACCAGTCAATATATCGACTCGTCGACTTCAAAAATTGATTTTGCGAGAATAATCAGAAACGAATCGATGTGCTCCTGTCATGTCTGATAGATTTTTCCAATGCCGATCCAAAAGAACCATCGAATATCCGTAAAAAATCGTAAGAGTCGTGTATGTCAGATCGATATATCGACTCGTCGAC